TAGGACGGAAGGGTACTCAGACAACCACATGCTCTATACATTGAGCCACAAGACCAGACAGGTAACAGGGGAGAACAAGGACTGACGTATGAACGGGATGACCAGCACCACCTGCTGGTCAAACGGGGAAGGGGCAGGGAAGGACCACAGCGGGAGGCCGACCCTGACAATTGTAGGCTGTCCTTTAACTTTAAATGCACTAGTTAACTGTTTCATCCCATGAAACAGAGCAGTACTTAATGTCCCCTGTGGAAAGAATGCCTCAAAATTTCTCTGCTGTTATAACTGCTAGAGGAGGTTACTTTGATGAATGAAAGATATGACATTTTCTTGTTAATAAAGGTACTCAAATGGTGAACATACTGTAAATGTATTTGAATATTGAATGTATATTGAATGTAGTATATGTTAACATACAAATGTAGAAAACCTCAGTGTGAGCAAAAACTTTTGACTAGTAGAGTAACTGCATATGTAGGTGTATGAATCAGCGTATGAATTGTATTTCATTTTGTTTATAATGTCTAGATATAATTGCTTATTAAGTAAATACCCATTATAATGGTTAAAGATATCCGTTTTAAAAAATCTAAAAAATCAGATATAGCATGCTTTTACACTAACAATGAAATTACACTAATATTTCTATATTATATGATTTTATGTGACTGGTGTGTGAGTGTGCCCTGCGATGGGTTGACACCCCACCCTGGGTTGTTCCCTGCCTTGTGCCTGTAGCCTTTGGCATAGGCTCCAGACCCCACCACAACACTGAATAGGACAAGCAGTTTCAGAAGATGGATGGATGGATGGACGGATGATTTTACGTGATTGAAATATATTACTGTATTGACTTATGCATCCTTCATAAATATTTCCATTCAATTATTCATGCCAACTCGGGAATAACCGAAACCGCTTATGCCCAAATTCACAAATGTGACAAAGCTGAAGTTAGCTACTTATTCACCAGCTTCTTATTAAAAGAATCCATGCCATCTTAATTGGGGAGGGGGGGTGCTGTCTCAACAGAATCCTGTAGAGGGCACTGTGTATGCTAAATCAAATGCTGCAAGAATGTTTTGAGCATTTCATTTCATTAAGAAAATAGAAATCATTGAAATGTTTTTGGTCACACGGCCATTGGCTCTGAAATTAAACTGTAAATAAAATAAACTTAA